CCCACTGAGCCCAGGCTGCTGAAACTGCCCATACAGAAAAGGCAACAGACTGAATGCAACCTGAACCTGCAGCAGGTCATTGTATGGAGAACTAGAATTGGACGACAGGGTAGAGACTAAGGAGCTGGCTTTGAAGCAGAGGCTAACTTCCCCATAGTGAACGCCTGACTGCAAAACCACTAAGTAAGGGGAGTGATATCCCGATCTACAGTAGCCAGCCCGCACCCTAAAGACTCTTCAAAAGACTCTGGAGTAAGACCAGGCAACCACAAGGGGAAGGCAAAATAGCTGACAGGTAGGTGGAGGTGGTCCACAGAGAGCCTTAGACCAGCCAACTACCTAAGGACACCAAAGCCAAACAGCTCCTGACAGTGGCTGACACACAAGTACCTGCCAGGAGACCCAAAATCAGCATACAAAACAGTGAGCTTCAAAAAACATAAGCTGCCCAGTGGAATCTCACATGATTGACTTTTTTTTTAGAAAAAAAAAGGAAAAAACTTTAAAAAAATTTTTTAATTGTTTTTAATTTTTTGTTTTTAATGTTTAAATTAATTTTTTAAAAATTTGTTTTGTCTTGTTTTGCTTGTTTTGTTTTTTTCCTTTGTTTTGTTTTTTGTTCTATTATCAAGATTTTCTTGATATTCTCTGCTTTATTGCTGGGATATTATCATTATAACCAATAAGTTTATTGCTTTCCTCTATTGTTTCCCCCATATCTCTTATTGGGCTCCTTCCCTGCCCTTGCTTTATCTCTCTCTCTTCTTGTTCCATTGACATAACTTTCTTCTTTTTTTTTTTTCTTTTCTTTTTCTCCCCTTTTATTCTTTGTCTTCCTGTCTTTTTGTTTGTTTCTGTTTGTCTCTTTATTTTAATTTTTTATTTTTCAATCATTTTCCTATTCCTACACTCTACCCTTTTTTGCTCACCCTTCTTTCCTTTCAGAATTGTTTCCCTGCCCCTTTTATCTCCCCGTAGCTTTTCTATTTTTTACTTTTTACTTTATTTTATTATGTATATATATTTTTATATTTTTTTACTATTAGCAATAGTATCCTTTTCTCTCTCCCTTTTTTGTGGTTTTTTTTTTGCTTTAACATTTGTGTTCTTGCTTCGTGCTTCCAGTTCTACTTTCTCTTGGGTGGTTTTCATTGTGATTGTCAGCATATTTTGTAAGATAATGCTTGTTTCCTGGCTGTTTGGTTGTGTTTTGTTTTGGCTTGCCAGCACCCGTACTACAGCTCACATGATGTGGTTGGTGCTGAACCTCACAGTTAGCCAACCTGAGAGGAGAGTCCTCCAAAGAATGGGTGAACAACAATCTAGACCCAATCACAACAGGAGAGCCCACAGAACCCACAAAAATGACACCCACTAAAGGGACACACCTAGAGCAAAGAGCTCAGAAGTATACAGAAAACACACCTCTGGGTCTCACTGGACATACACTACAAAATCCCACCCCACAAGACTGGGAGACAGCAAATATATCTAATATACAATTACAAACACAAAGAGTCACTAAAGTGGGGAGACAAAGAAGCCCCAAACTAAAGATAAGGAAAAATCACCAGAAAGAGACCTTGATGAGATGGAGGCAAGCAAATTATCAGAAATAGAGTTCAGAGTAGTAGTTATAAAGATGCTCAAGGAAATTAATGAGAACCACAAGACACTTAATGGGGAGGTCAAGGAACTTAGTGAAAGCATGAAAAAAGAGCTAGATAAGATAAATAACAACCAAGCTGAAATGAAGAATACTATATCTAATATCAAGAATAGGCTGGAAGGAATTAAAAGCAGGCTCAATGAAGTAGAGGATAGAATAAATGACTTAGAAGATAAGGTAGAAAAAAACAATGAGAGCAGGAAAAAGAAAAAACACTTAAAAAGCATGAGGACAGTTTAAGGGAATTTGGGGACAACATGAAGTGAAACAACATTTGCATCATTGCAGTGCCAGAGGGGGAGGAAAGTGAGCAAGGGATAGAGAATTTGGTGGAGGAAATAATGATAGAAAACTTCCCTATGCTGGTGAGGGAGAAAGCCACGCAAGTTCAGGAAGCACAGAGGGTTTCAAACAGGAACCCAATGAGACCCACTCCAAGACACATCATAATTAAAATAGCAAATGTTAAGGACAAAGAAAAAGCAATTCCTTGGGAAGATGTAATATTTTTTCAACTTCTAATGCAGTCATGTTGAGACACTGAACGATAGAGTAGATAAGTTCATTGAGAGATACAGCAGCTCTTTGCTTTAAAATACCCATACAGCAGATAAAATAACATACTTGGAAAGACTATTTTTAATTTTGTCCTACAGTGATAATGAACACAAAGCAGCACATTGCAATTCAGTACAAACAATCTTTTCTGAGCCACGTTTCCCAGTGGCCCAGCTCTAGCCTAGGATTACAGGTACTGCCTCTTCCTTAATTAACATATTCCTCACTTTGGCTTTTATAAAAGCTCAGCAGCAGATGGCTCAGCTATAGTGTTGCTGGTAGCTTAGGAGCAAGGAGTTTCTAGTGCTAATTAGAGCAAGTTCTTTAACCTGCTGCAGTGGTCTCCAGAAGCCAGTCAGGAAACAGCCTACTTGCTGGGGATTCCCTGTCACACTTTCAAAAACTATAGATTTGTTGCCCTATCTATACAAATTCTCATTTAGATTCACAGTGGACCCAGATATTTAATTTTTTTTATTTATTTAAAGCTTTTTATTTGATTCTTAATCTCAGTCACTTTAGGAAACTGGTGCTTTAGAGATTAAATGAGAGCAATGATTTTTTGTGTGGAAACTATGCAACCCAAAAGTCACCTGGGCAAAAGTCTCAGCAGCACTGATGTTGGGACTGGACCATTCTGGGTCCCATGGATTATAGAGTATTTTAGCACTCCTGGCCTCTGCCCACTGGATGACAGTAGCACTCGCCCCCACCCCCACACGATTGTTATGAAAAACAGAAATGTCCCCAGACATTGCCAGGTGTCCCCTGGGGCTGGGAATGCTGTCTGTCCAGAACCACTGCAGTAACCAGAGCACCTGGCACTTGACCAGTTAAAGAAACTATCTCCAAACACCACCAAATTTCTTTCTTTATGGAGAGTTTAAGATTCATTCTAAATATTAAATGAATGTTTACCTGTGCCACAGGGAATGTCTAAGATAACTTTTGCCAGGATAATTTCAAAACAAATGTCAATAGTCTACCTTAACTGTAGACTTATGTTCCCAAATGTCTTAGGGAAACATTTGCACCCATGGAATGTCTTGTTTTGAGCAGAGTTTTCCGGTGAACCCAACAAGATAATTTAGTCTTAAAATATATTCTTCATTTATCAAAAATTGACTTGCCCTATGAAGTTACAAATGACATACTAAATTTCAGAGGATATCTACCAAAAACAATTTTTATTTTACATTCAGTATTCCTGAGTCATTCTTTCTAAGGATGGGTAGATAAGAGTAATAGTTGTGTATTATTTGTAGAAAATAAAAATTACCTTATTATGATTTACTAATGTATATGTAGACAATTTATATGCTAATATGTGACATTTTAAATTACTTTAGCATTGCTACTTTGCAAAACATTAACGGTCATGAGTAGATCATTTACTTAAACTCATTTCAGGGAAGTCCATCTTCCCAGGTCAAGAGAATACGAGTAGAGGTACTTTTTAAAAAAATGTATTAAACTTATTGGGCTATCATTGTGTAAGAAAATTATATAGATTTCAGTTTTGCAATTTTTTAACACATTTTTCAAGAGAGAAACAAATACTGTGAGCATCATTCCTAACTGTGCCCCAAAAGACTGGTTAATGATTTGTTGTACTTTCAACACAGTGCACAAATACTTTTCTAAATGTACTTTTTACAATTTAGGTCTGCGTTTCTTGGTTCGTCTCTGCACAGATATTGGATTAAAAGAAGTTCAAGAATATGCAACAAAACTCAAGAGGTTGGAAAAAATGAAAGAGATAAAAGAACAGGTATCTCATATGGGCCGAAAACTACTGTCTGTTAATTTTCAAAATGTCAGCCTTCTATAGCTCAACTGAGTGATGTTGGGGCTTCTGTCAGTAAAATGAAGTTGAAATTGTTTTGCTCTGGCATAAAGGAAACACAATAACTAAAATCGTACTTTTAGGATAAAGTTCTGTCAAAAGTAAATTTCCAATAGGAGGAAGTACAATAGACTCACGGTCTTTAGTGGATCATACTAATAGACAAATAATTGTAATTTCACACAATATGAAGTAATTTATTTAGTCATTTTACATACTTAATTTTTAGATAATAAGTTAGTTTATACTCTCAATTTTAATTTAAGAGTCCTGTGGCCCATGGAAACTAAGAGGCAGTTATTTGTGTACAGCATAGTACTTTTCCCTCTATAGTAGAGATGGCTTTGAGAATAACATTAACATACATGGAAGCATTTTAAATATATTTCTATGTTCCATGCAGCATGTGGAATACCAATGTACTTTACTTCTTTAAAAGAATAATTTCTCCGAAGTTTGAGCCGAGAATATTTAAAAGTTTAACATGATTTTTCAAGTATCTGCCTTTCATAGAAGATATATTTACCCTCTATAGATAGAGATTCAGATTAACTTTCCCATTTCTTATAGTTTACCACTTAATTTTTTCATTTACTGAGTTGTGTCTTAGTTGAGCAATTATACCATCCTCTCTCTTTTAGTTACCTTTACTTTTGCTTCCTCTCCCCTATTGACTTTTCCTCTCCCCTTTTCCTCTTTCCTTTCTTGCTTTCTTGCTCTATGATGTTAAACTTTTGTTTTTCATATGACTACTATGGACTAATATTCATATGGACTGAGTTTATTATAAATATATGAATGTCATTGAAACTGCTTTTCCTTTCTAATTACTACTCAGCCAACTTGGTTCTTCCATCAAAATATTTATTTATTCATTGACTATTGTCAACTTTTGCCTATTTCTCTCACAAACCTGACCTCTAATCCTTATGTTATACTCATTAAAAATAATTCCCTAATTAAGAATACTTTGGTAAACTTGTTACCATATGAGTTACAATTGATGCCTTTAGATCATTTGTTTACCTTACCAAATTATTAATGTCTCCCTGTGCTTGAGCGAAACCTCTTTTGGTAATATTTTATCACTATTCTCCTTGTAATCTGTATAAAACCAAGTATCATTGAGATGTCTTCTTTTATTATCACTTCTCCTTAATGTCTTCCCTTCCCACCTAGTTATTTCTTCATCTTTAGGATTAAAGCTCTGTCCTCACCCACAAAACACTGTCTCTCCAATTTCCTTGAAATCAATTTCTCTGTCATTCTTCAGTACTCCTCATTAAATCTTACGTCAAAGAAACGTTTTCTTGATGTTTTCTTTTTTTATGTTTTGCTTATAAACACAAAGCAAAGAGGAAAAGTTGAAAAGAAAGGTCCTTGGAAGAGGAAGAAGAAGCTTAAAGAGAAAGAATTCTCATATATCTGAGAGCCAGCTTCTCAGTTAATTGTTGCAAGCCTGTTTGTCTTTTCTAGGTTGTAAGTGCAGAGGGCAGGGCACTCTTTTCTGGCTTGTGGAGCACAAAAAATACTATTAGTCATGAAACAAGATATAATAAATAAGCTCCTTTTCTAAGTTTGAACTTAAAACTTCTTGTTACTTTTTCTCTGTTTCTTGTTTAGAATCAATCCTTAACATCTTTCCTATGTAATTAGAATTTCTTCATAAAATCATTGTTATGCCAGCCTAATACCCTGCTGTACAGATATATCTTGATTTCTTTTAACATTTCCACAATGTTAGACAGTCACGTGTCTTTTTTTATAGTTAGTAACTTCCTATGTCTGATTTTGAGGTGCTTCTTGCCGAAGCTGTATTGGCCTCTGTGATCATTTATAGGAGATCTCTTCCATGTTGCTGACTTGAGCCGTTAGTGAAATAGCCATGTAATGGAAACCAGGGACAGTGTAGCTAATCATCTGGAACTGCTTAAAGAACATAAAATTGACGCCCAGTCTCTGTCCCTGTCTCTCCTCTGGAAGGCTGATAATTGCAGCAGTTTGACAGCAGGAAGAAATAGAAGTGTAGAGCCTGATAACTTCCTGCATGATGTCAGCAATCTTTTGGTGACAGGTTTTCCTTTCATTCCACTTTACTGCATCTGCTTAACTAGACATTAATGATGACAGCTGATATTTATTGATTTCATGGTGAAGCGCAGGCATTGTTCTAAGCAATTTACATGCATCAACTAATGTGATCATCCCAATAATCCTATGATGTTGGATGTGGTATGATTATTACTACTTTTTACAGGTGAGAAAGCTGAGTTATATAGGGCTAAGTAACTTTCTGCAGGTCACCAGCTATTGGGGGCAGACCTGGGATTCAGATCCTGGCTCCTAACACTGTGCCTGCCACCTTAGGAAGATCAGAGAAAGAGAGTGATACAAGTCATCATTTTTAGTTGTATACAGTCCTTACTTATTCTGCATCCAGCAAAGTTGCTAACTTGTACCATGAATTAGATCAAATGTACCTTGCCATCAACTCACCATAATATAATTAGGAGTTAGGGTCTCAGAACAGTACTAGTAAAGTATGGTCTGTGGACCAGTAGAGCTTCAGAATAATCTGGGCATTTGTTAGAATTGCAAACTTTTGCGCCCCAGCCCCGACCTGCCCAAACCCTACCCCAGAATTACAGTCTCTGAATATGGATCCTGTGTATGTGCTTTTTAAAACAGTTCTCCAGGTAATTTTTATATTAACTAAAGTCTGAGAAGCACTAGTGTACAGTTTATGGTCCCAAAGGGCCACCTTGCAAAAGATCAAATACCAGCTCAGGGTATGGAATCGGATTTAAAGG